CTTTGAAAGTGGTTTTGCATTAAGCTTGCAAGTAAGAATCAATTTTTTTTCCTCCCTTCCCACACATTTTAGTAGACTTCAAAAATAGAATGGGAGAACTGATTGGAGAGAGGGCTAAGTACAGAAAGTACTAATAGTAGTAGTGCTGAGTAGGAAGAAAAGAGGAAGTCGTTTACTATTTGTTCTGAATTTAACATTCATTTAGTGCCTCAGCATATGGTAAGCAGGTACAAGATATTACAGAAAAAAAAGGGGGGACAGAGGGATGAATGACATTAGGTGTTGTGTGTGTCTCTCCCAGGGAGTTTACACTGTAATTACAACCATCACCATAAACAAAAACCAAAAAACCAAACCCATTGTGTCGAGTCAATTCCAACTCATCCCCAAAAAACCGAACTCACTGCCGTCGAGTTGGTTTTGACTCATAGCGACCCCTCCTTGGGTTTCCGAGGTGGTATCTCTATGGAAGTAGATTGCCTAGTCTGCCTTCCGAGGAGTGACTGGTGGGTTTGAACCATCAGCCTTCTGGTTAGCAATCAAATGCCTTAGGCACTACACCACCAGAGCTCCCATAGCAGCCCTATAAAACAGTAGAACGGCCCCATGGGGTTTCCAAGGCTGTAATCTTTAGGGAAGCAGACTGTCATCTTTCTCCCATGGAGTGGCTGATGGGTTTGAACCGCCGACCTTTTGGTTAGCAGCCGAGTGCTTAGCCACTGCATCACCAGGGATCAGAACAGAGGAGCAGATGCACTGCAGCACCGGGAGTGAGTGGCATGCAGGGCTCAGTCAGTGTTAGCTGCTATCGTTACAATAATTATGAAAATGTTTTAATCCAGAGTCAGGATTTTGAGCAGTCTTTTTTTTCATTGATTGAATATGTAAGTTAAGGACTGCTCTATGTAAGTCCCACAAAAATGCTCTTGGATTTGTTTTTTCAAGTTTGAAACCAGGGCTTTAGACTGAGAGAGGCTCGTACTTCCCACCCAGTCATGTCGCTAGGAAGCCAGAGTTGTGTTCATTCTCAGGCCTGGGATCCTTGCACTTCCTGGCGCACACCTGTGCAGCCCTCTCATTTGTCCTGCCTGACTCATCAAACTGGGGCCTCAGAAATGGCCACTAATGGACCATTCCATGTACTTGTCAATAAAGACTGGCTCATTTATTCACGCCACAGAAACTTCCTGCGCCCCTGTCATGTGCCTGGCATTGTGATGACAGACTCTCAGACATTGTCTGAGTGAATCCGTCCAAAAACCCCAGGAGGTAAGGTACTGTTGTCACCATTGTTCCCAGGAGACTTCAGGATGTGAAGATGTGGAGTAACTCAGCAACGGGTCTGTGCTCTTGGCGTTTGCCACCAGCACCAAGTTCTTTCTGACAGGGCCTTTGTATTCAGTCACAGAGAGTTTTCATTTTTGCCTTGGCTTATAATATATTTTATAATATATATTCATATATAATCAACAACATAAAATTTAGAGAAGAGTGGGTAGGCGAAAAGCTGTTTTTTGTGAAAAGCGAATATTAAAATTTAATATTTGATTCTAGAAAGTTCCAGGCTGAGAAAGGTTACTAGCGGCTTTCTGATACGGTTTTCTTTGGAGATGAAGATTCTCGCAGGTTTTAAGGTAGCTGCGCTAATACCAGTCAGGGAGAGAGTTCGCTCCCCGTTTAATCTGTTTTTACTCTTTAAATGATGAAAAGAAATCAAGTATACATTTTTGAGGTGAGCTTTCAAATTTTTTCCTTTGCAGGTGATGACGATGTTTGAACTGAACAATTAGGTAAGATTTCTGACCCATGTAATATGCTTTTCTTACTTAAATTTCTTTTAGCTGAGTTGCTAATGTAATGTTTAACCTTGGTGAAGATTGTTGACTTTGGGCAGTCATTCCAAACTCTGTAATACAAGAGACTTCACATTTTAAGGTAAATTTTGAAAACTAGGATAACATTATTCATTCAGCTTAAGCTAAAGACGTTTCAAATGAGTTTACTGTTTTTAGAGAATAAAACATTTTTAATGTCAATAAGCTGATTATGGTTATGTTAATGTGTAGATGGGATGAAGATAGCTCTTGTTAGATGTTAATTAGAAATACGATGGTTTATATTCTTATATCACCATATATGTTTATATACGATTCTACAGTTAGATTAAGAGAGATGTTCATGTGTATATTGTTTTAGCAAATACCAACACATTACCAGATACTCAAATCTGGAAGGCTCCCAATTGTAGATGGGAAATGTACAAATTGGATGCTATTTCCTGGTGTGTGGGTCTAACATACCACAAATTTGGTCAAAATAATGGCATTAATTATGAAGAAATCTCACATTATTATGACAAAAGGAAAGAATTGTCCAAGTGTCCTGATAAAATTATAAATTAGGACTCTTGAGGAATTTCTTAAGATATCATTTGGTATACGTATGCAACTAATGGTCTGGATTGGGTGGGTCAGATTGTATGATCTGGCTTATAGTTTTGTGTAAAGATTCTGGAAATTCAGTGCTATCTAATACAACTTTTTGTCTGGTGAGGCAGTTAGACCGATAGAGATTTAAAAAACTGGGATTAGTAATAGGCTAGAATTAGGCACATCTGTTATGCTGCCTCGGAAATCCAAGGGGAGGGGTCACTATGAATCAAAATTGCCTCGACGACAGGGAGTTTGGTTTGGTTACACCTCCATAACCCAACGGATAACTTTTGTGTTTAGTTTAAAAATTGTGAGAAAGGGACTCCCTTGGACAGTTGGGGGATGAATGGTCCCAGAAGAGCTGCTGATCCTGCAGTGTGTAGTTGGGTGAAGCTCATGGGGTTTACAAGCCTAAGATGCCAGGCCTGAAGACCAGGGAGAGGACCCAGGTGAGCTGGTGGAACTGAATTCCAGTTCCATTTGGCAGTGCGTTTCAGAGTCGAGGGCAGAGAGGGGGCGGCCACGGTGCAGGGGCCAGATGTCTTGACCTAGAAGGTGGACTTGGTCCTGGAGAGCTATCAGTGAACTTCATGGGGCCGCTATTATGTAGACGCTTTCGTGTTGAAATAGTTGGTCTGCTTTTTCATTTCTGTGCGCCTTTTTTCTATAAATTGAAGTTGTTTAAGCAAGATCGAGAGAGAAAAAAAGCTGCCGGTTTAGTGCATTGTTACCTATGTTAGGAGATTGGATGTTTGAGGTTGTTTTGATTTCCTCTCTAGCAGTAGCAGTGATTTTAGTCTGGGCAGCACGATACATTTGAAATAGAAAAGTCTCCAAGAGGTATGAGCCTTGATTGCCTCACTTTTTTGTTAGACATTTTAAAGTCTATTATTAATATTACTGTAGCAGCCATTTAAAAGGCCTTGTAAGAGTTAGGGACTGTGTCCTGTCTTTTTGAAGTCTTATTTTCCCATTAACTTGATTTCTCTCGATGTAATCAATTGCTGCGGGTTTTGACCAGAAGAATGTGGCATGCAGTTGGAAATTCATAATCATTTTACTTCACAGGAAGTGTTCAGTGACACCCATCTGGGTCACATTTGCATAGGACCAAGAGATAGCCATATGCTGCTTACTGCAGTCGTTTTGCAAATTCATCTTCACCAGTGTAACAATTGTGTCTTCATTACATTCCCATTCAAGGATTCAGTTTTGCTCTAGAGCTGTGTTGTCCAATACTCCTATTGGCTCTTTAAATTGTGGCTTTTTAAATTAATTAAAATGAAATAAAACTCAAAATTCAGTTCCACTTGCCACGTGCCTGCCAAGTGCTCAAAAGCCACATGTGGCTAGCGGCTTCCATATTGTATGATGCAGATGTCGAACATTTCCATTACCACAGGAAATTCTGTTGGACAGTACTGCTCAAGGGCTTGTTTACTTTGACAAATTTTAGTATACTTACAAGCCACTTATAATAGTGAGGTATTTACAGATTAAATGATGCAGTTTGATTCAGAATTACTGGGGAGAATGGAGAGTGGGGGGGATAAGGAGGAAACAGGATTTGCTCATTGGTGACCCTGGGTTTAGGGCTCATGGGAGTTGATTACATCATTGTCATTATTTGGAGATTTTGTGCATGTGTGAAGTTTCCCATAATAAAAAGTTAAAACAGAAGCATTAAATGGAAACCGCTCCCACCGACACTTAGAAGTAGCTCCCTGTAGAGAGGAGGCAGCAATCTCAGCCCACATTGGCTGGCTCCCGTGGTACAGGAACCCGTTTAATCCTGCTCCAGGACCTCTCCCGCAGGGTCTGTGTGGGCCCACATTTTCATTTCAGGTTATTCCATTCCAACTCAGAGCACACAAGTAACGGCATAGGTTTAAATGTGCTGAGGGATGGAGCTGTTCCAGTGGATCTTGTGGATAGAATGTTCTAGATGATTACATTAAAAATTGCATTACTGCCGCAGTTAATTTTCACAAGCTCACAGTGGTTCCTAACGAACACCCATTCACTCAGCTACTGTCTCTGGCTTTCTTGTCTAACAGCTCCTGTGTTACTGTTTTGACTCACAGCGACTCTATATTATGAGTTGGAATTCAACTTGACTGGCAGTGGGTTTTCTTTGTTTTCGATTTTACAGGAGAAAGTAAAAACCCTTGGCACGAGAGGAAAGCCATCTGTGAACAGTGCTCCTGTGACACTAAAGGGCTGTTTGAAATTTTTACAGAAAGCTGCATACGTGGGTCTCTAAGTGAATCTTAAACGGTGACAGGGCTCATTGTGAGGAGAGGGTGATTATTGTGGAGAGTGATGGTTGAGAGCAAGGGCTTTGGGGTCAGACTTGGGCTTTGAGTGCCAGTTTCAAACTGTGATGTAAGGAAGGGGAAGAGTAAGCCCCGTTGTTTAGGGCATCATGGGAGGATAGCGCCTGGCTTGTGGGTAAGTGCTCAGCAAATGACAGTGCTTACTCTTAGCGGTTCCCTTTGCACCAAGCACACTGATCCTCATAAGCTCACGTGGAGGAATGTAATGGTACCTTTTATTTTACAGGGTTCTGAAGTCAAAGATCTGGTGATTAACAATGGCAGGAAAATCATCGCTTTTTAAAGTAATTCTCCTTGGAGATGGTGGAGTCGGGAAGAGTTCTCTTATGAACAGATACGTAACCAATAAATTTGATACCCAGCTGTTCCATACAATAGGTGTGGAGTTTTTAAATAAAGATCTGGAGGTGGATGGACATTTTGTGACCATGCAGATTTGGGACACAGCCGGTCAGGAGCGGTTCAGGAGCCTGAGGACGCCGTTTTACAGAGGTTCTGACTGTTGCCTGCTGACTTTTAGTGTCGATGATTCTCAGAGCTTCCAGAACTTGAGCAATTGGAAGAAAGAATTCATATATTACGCAGATGTGAAAGAGCCAGAAAGCTTTCCTTTTGTGATTTTGGGAAATAAGGTCGACATAAGTGAGCGACAAGTGTCTGCAGAAGAAGCCCAAGCTTGGTGCAGGGACAACGGCGACCATCCTTACTTTGAAACAAGTGCAAAAGACGCCACTAATGTCGCAGCAGCCTTTGAGGAGGCGGTTCGAAGAGTCCTCGCTACTGAGGACAGGTCAGATCACTTGATTCAGACAGACATGGTCAATCTGCACAGGCAGCCCAAGCCTAGCTCGTCTTGCTGCTGATCTGTTATTAAAGAGATGGCAGGGTGTTCCAACCGATACACACACACGCTCTGTGTCTCTCTCTCTCTCGCACACACACAGTGCAACTGTGGATCAATGGGTGTTTGCAGCAATGTATCATCTACTAATAAAATTAAACTAATCTCTATTGCTGCTTCATTAGTGGGTGGGAGAAGGGACACATCCACTCATGAGGAATCTATTTACTGAATAATGGCACCTTCCATTGGTAAATTGTAACGGCTGTCTAATAATGTTTCTTTAATTTAAATGTGTTAAAGAGCTAATAAGTGAGATGACCAAGACTTTAATTAAAACAAAACACTTGAATCTTGTAGAAGTTATTCTTGGGTTTTTTTTTTCCAGGAAAATAGAGAAATACTTTTTATATGTGCTTATTTTTATGTAATTAGTGTCCCATTCTTGGTTGGGGGGAATTTTTTTTTCCTAAAGCAATAATGTTAGGTATTAAAGATTAAAATCTAATACTGTACAATGCATTGTTCTTTGATCCGATTACTTCTTTATTCTGTTTACAATGACTTAACTTTTTCTATCGTCATTCTAAATACCAGGAGAATTGATGGGTAGTAGCAATTCAGGAGCCCTTGTGATGCAGTGGTTAAGGGCTTGGCTGCTAACCAAATGGTCGATGGTTCAAATTTAACAGGCACTATCAAGGAGAAAGATGTGGCAGTCTGCTTCTATAAAGATTTACACCCTTGGAAACTTTATGGAACACTTCTATATGAGTTGGGCTGTCTTGTTGGGCTATATGAGTTGGAATTGACTCTGTGGCAATGGGTATAGTATCAATAGAATTACCCAGCATTTGTGCCCCGTGTGTGTGTGTCCCACCTGAACCTAGAAGCTAACTTTATCAGGCTTGAGGGGAAAACAAAGGAGCATACTTTGCTTGAGGGTCAGTGAAAACCCAAAAGCAAACCCACTGCTGTCTAGTGGATTCCGACTCACAGTGACCCCCATTAGGTTTCCGAGGCAGTAAATCTTTACGGAAGTAGATTGGAGGGTTGATGAAAACGTCTTTATTTGGTCATGTGTTTATTTTGTGCCTTCTCTATCAACAAACACCAAGCATTCTGAATATAACCACATTGAGTGCCTGCTTTTCTTTAAAAAAAAAAAAAAAAAAAGTCTTCATTCTTTAGAACCAGCAAACTGTGGACAGTGACCCACACCCAACCCAGGCCTATTTTGGTATGACACTAGTGATTGCTCCCAAGAAGATGGACCATTCTTTAGGGACTTGCTGCTATGGCCAGGCTTGCTAAAGCAAATTGCAGGCCTTTGTGGGGACAGTTCGTGTGCTATGCCATTGACAGTGACCCTACAGATGCAAACCAAAGCCTGAGGTGAGGGTCAGTGTGGACAGCTCCTCCACTGTGGACGGGTGATTGATTGTAGCAAAGGACATCCTTGGGTGGGGGACGGGTAGAGCTTGGAAAACCAGACTGACCCCTTCCTCTTGCCTAGCCCCACCCCCTTGGGAACCACTGAAAAGGATTACCACTACAGTGACTTAATGGGCAAGTTTGCCAGAAGAAAGCATCTTAAACTAGGGGAAATGAAATCTCTTCACATTATTCTCATGTTGTAGAGAGCTGTGGTTATTATAATCATCCACAACCCCCAAAAAACTAATCATCCACGAAACAAAATAGGACCCACTGTTAACATTTTTCTTTTCCTTTGCAGACTTAACTCTAACGTCTTTTTTTAGTTTTTAAATCAGAAGTGTACCCATTATTTTGTGACTTGCCTGTTTCTCTTAATATATCTGGACATATCTCCATTACAGAAGACCCACCTCATTTATTCTGTTAGCTGCATGGATGTCTAACAAACAGTTCTCACCTGATAGCCATTTGGATTTAAAATACTAATATTTCCAAGTCCCCCTCACAGAATATGGTGGTAGTTGACATTTCTTCTAGCAGGAGTATGTGAAAGAGCCAGTTTCTCACATCTTGGTCAACAAGGGGTATTACGAGTAATTTAAGTTAATTTTTGGACTAGATGAGTCATGTGGTTCCACATCATAAAGCACAGGGGGCGGATCTCTACCCCTACTGCACAGTCCCTGTCCCTGGAGGCAGCCCTGTATCAGTTTCATGGGTATTCATCTAGATTTTTAGTATATAAGGGAAGCGTGTAGTGCGTTTGTGTGGCCCTATTGCTTTTTAGTTTTTGACATGTCAGTAAAGCTTTTCAGCTAAATATTCAGGGATTAGATTAGTTGGCTCTCCAAAGGGCTAGAGCTGAGCAGCACAAACTCATGACAACAGATCCTCCTTTGTTAGAGAAAGGTTGAACAAAGGGAAAGTACTCCAGCTTTCCATTGGGCAGTAGATAGACCAAGTGAACATGGGGTATGGAAACAACCAAGAGGAGGAACAAAGCCTGCCAGATGGCTTCAGGCTTCAAAGAATCTGCAACTAACTGGTGGAAACCTCTTCAACCAGCAGCAAAAGGAAGCTGAAAACCAGATGGTTCTTTTGCTTGAAGAAAGTAACAGGTGCTTTGATTGGCTGGTGTCACCTATACAACAAGAAATGGAAAATAGAAGGCAGGTGGGAAAAAAGCAGGTGGCCACTGCATAGTGGGCATGGCTAGAAACTGCTGAGCCTCCAAAGGAGGAAAGCATAAGGGAAGAACTAGATCATGCTCCATAGTTTGTGGGATGAGGGAGGGTCCCCTATATTACTGTTGATCACCATGCAGTCTGACCATTAGCCCCAGGCTGTCCATGAACATAAAGCCTTTGGACAGAGTTCACTTTTAAGGAAAAGCACCAGCATTGGAATGGACAAATGTACATCTGAACACTGATGTAGCACTGCCCACGTGCTGTGGAAGATGGAAATTAGCAGGCCTCCCGTGGGTTAGTCTTCACCTCCAATGTCCTGTCAGTTCATCCTTGTGAAAAATGCCTAGTTGCAGTTAAAACATCCCAAATATTCCCTGTATTTATATGTATATTTTTACATTTTTATAAAAACTTGTTTTAATACTATGACACCATAATGAGAGTTCTCTCACTGTGTCTTGCAGGACAGTAAAATGGGCGGGGGGGAATGCACTAGGGTGTGCCCAGACCAGGGTGGTGTCTATAGGGCCAGTGGTTTCTGATAACACTGGACTATGTTGACATGATGGGAAAGGTACAGAATATGGGTGGAGACCGGACAGAGCAGAGGTGGACAGGTTCTATAAACATCTCATAGGGACACCTCATGACGCATCTTAGGAAATGTTTCCAGCTGTATGGACAAAACCCAATTTGTGCATTTTATTTCCATCATTTTGGAGCTCTGGTAGCATAGTGCCTGAAGCACTTGACTGCTAACCAGAAGGCTGGCGGTTCAAACCCACCAGCCACTCCTCGGAAGGAAGGTTGGGCATCTACTTCTGTAGTGATACCGCCTTGGAAACCCAAGGAGGGGTTGTTATGAGTTGGGTCCGACTCGATGGCACATAACAACAATGCAGATTGCAAACTCAGTGCCAACATACATGTGCTCAGAGGCACCTGACCAGGTCACTACCGATGTTCTCCTAAGTGACATCTCCCTATTGGGCTTGTCTTCAGAAACCTTCATGACATCACCTACCAGGCCTAAGTTTGCGTGAATTTTCTGTTAAGCCTTCCTGTTTGGCCCCAGGATTTTCCCCTTACACCAAGTCCTGTTCCATCCACAGCTGTTAGTCATAGGCCTATGCCCCAATGATTCCTTTCACACCTTGCCTGCAATGTTTTCCCCGGGGCCGCTCACCTCTGAGGTCCCACCCCCTCATATTCATGGCTGGACTTCCCTTTTGAACTCCTCCAAAGACACAGTCACCCATGAAAGTTGGTACTTAATGACTGTGTGAGCTTCCACAATGTTTCAGGTTCCTGTTCCTACCTTACCCTCAGCAGCCTGGAGAAAACGGCTAATCTGTGTGGAACCACTGTCCTGCATGCGGCTGAGTTAGGACCTGAATGGAAGTCTTGCCACCCCTACAACTTCCCTGGCTGAGTGTCATTACAGCCTTCTGGACGGTAAGCTCATTGAGAGCAGGGCAAGGCATATACAATAAATATACATCTTGGTATCTCCAACTAATATGCTTGAAATTACTCCTTAGATTCCTAGATGAGGACTTTTCCACTTCAAAATCTCTGGCATTACTTTCCCAGGTAATGTGAACTCCATACAAGGGATTAAGATAGCAGTCTGAAAACACTCAATAGTGGAAATAGGACTAAAATGGTGTGTGTGAGGGAATCATCACTTTTAAATTGGGCACTAAAGTACCACAATCTTGGACAAACGTCTTTATTTAAGAATCAAATAAACAGGTGAGTTCCGATAAGATGGCAGATTAGGCAGAAAGACTGCACAGACCCTCTTCAACAAAGGGGAACCAATTAACAGATACAGAAGGTAATCTTGGACCCCTGAGCTTTGAAGGGAAGGATACAGAAGTGGACTAAACTCCAATTAGCAAAAGAATTTGCATAAAAACATCAAAAAAGGAGACATATGGAGCTGCGATCTGGCAGTGATCCTGAGACAGCTTGGATATTGCCAAGCAGTGGTAGGACCTAAGAATTAACCTAAAAGTTGGCCCTGTTGGCTAGGGACTGCACGGAGAATTGCTCAGGTGGCTGGGGAATAAAAGGGGAAGCAGCAAAGAGGAAGGCGGGCTGAGCTGTGGACTTTTGTCTGCCTGGAGGGCACAGCCATTTTGAAGGTTTACAAGTGGCTTGACCGTTTTGGATATTTAAAGCGACAGTGTTCTCCCGGATTGCAGGGACTTAAGAACAGGCTCCACTTGCTGGGAACCCCAAGGACATTCCAGACGCGGATGACTAGAAAGGTGCTACATTCCCCTTGTTACTCTTTTACCCCACACCCTCTTGAATGGAGGTGTGGCCATCCCTCACTCCTACCCACTTTCTGGGCCGGCAGGAATTCCATCCCAGTCTGTGTATTCCAATGGAGCGTGGGTGCCCTGCCCTGATTTTTTTTTTTCTGTTTTCTAGTTGATTTGTTTTTGTCTGTTTTAAAATTACCACTATTATTATTACTTTTGTAATATTGTATTATTACTATTATTCTTTATTCTTCACCTCCCAGGTTATAGTTTTCAGTTCTTTTCCTTTTCCCTGTTCCTGGTTGCAATTTTTTTTTCTTTAACATGGTTAACCCAGTTCCTTCTCTTTTGCATTTTTCCCATTTTTTCTTCATTATTCTTCTTATGTATCTTTTTTCTCTACCTTTTTTCTTTCCCCAGATATTGCAGGGTCTTGTTTTGTTTTTCTTCTTTTCCCCTTTTTTCTTTGTTTAGTTACTGTTCCTGTGTGATTGCATGGTGTATTTTTTGTCCATGTGCTTTTACTTTTTTGATGGTTATTCAATTGTTATTTTTGTCTAACTGAGTGGAAGAGAGCAACAATCCCCATATGAGACAACTACACCCACACCTCCTGCAGCTTCACTTAACTGAGTGAGAGCGACCACTTTTCCACCAACAGACCAACGATAAACCACCACCAAGAAGAGCCTGACTCACCCTTGGCTGCTCTTCACAAACAGTTAACAGAGATCTAAATAAACACTACCACAATGTCTCAGAGACGACAGACCATCACAGTCCACACAAAGAAGCAAGATAAAGTGGTAGAAACAAGGGAGCAGGATACAGACCCAGAACACATCCCTGAGGAAAAAGAAGCATTGGAACTCTCTGATAAAGAATTTAAAAGAATTATATTTAGGTATCTTCAAAGGATTGAGAGACAGACCGAGGAAAACACAGAAAAAACCCTAGATGAATTATGGAAGAAAATACAAGAACAAAATGACAAAATAAATGAAAAATTAGAAATGATACAAAATCTATACAAAGAAATCCAGAAGATTAATAGTAAATTGTCAGAAATAGGTAACACACTGAAAGGGCAAAGGAATAAAATTGAATCAATGGAAGACAGAATTAATGAGATTGAAGACAAATACCTGAATACTTCTTTGGAAAGGGATCAGTCAGAAAGAAGATCAAAACAAAATGAAGAAAGCCTAAGCTTCATGTGGGATACCATCAAAAGGAATAATCTACGTGTCATTGGAATTCCGGAACAGGATGAGAAAAATAAAACCACTGTACCAAATGTGAGTGATCGAGATGGTGGCACTGAGGAAGAGGAAGACAGAGAGAGGTACATGGGAGGTACAGACAACAAAGATGAACCGTTTCGCATATACAGTACTGCATTGTCGGTGAAGGCAAACATGGGTATACGGGTGGATAGACGGGTGGACAGGCTGAACTATTAGGTAGGTCTATGTAGCAGAAAGTATACCCAAGACCATGTATAGGGTGGGCAGAGAATGGTCCTATAAGTGTATTTGTATGATCTGAATTCCCAGGTGTCTAGTAGAACTGACAAGGGACAAGGTTGTAGTCACTTCTTGGTCACAGCCAGCTACCCAGAGGGACCAAGTAGTTGAACCTGTGGGCTTGGGACCATAGTCACAGGGGACACCAAGTTCAACTGGCATAACATACTACACAAAACATTGTTCCACCTCCTACTTTGGCGAGTAGCGAGTAGGATCTTAAAAGCTTGCAAGCAGCCATCTAGATGCTACAATGTGTCTGTCTCTCCTTGTCCAGAGCAAAGAAGAATGAAGAAAACCAAAGATTCATGGAAAAATTAGTCCTAGTGACTGGTACACCATGCGATCCGCAGCCTATACAACTACAAGACCAGGAGAACTACATGGTGCCTGGCTACCGCTGTCAACCACTCGGAGGGAGATCTATGTAGGAGAACCTTAATAGAGAGGGAGACAATGTGGAACAAAACTCAAAATCATTGGGTGGGGGAAGAGGGGGACAAGGTTTGCTGGTCTGAGAGCGCCTGCTGGAACGAACCCCTGAGACTATGGCCCCTAGCTGCCCTTCAGGTCTGGAACTGAACCCATACCTGTGGCTTCCAGCCAAACAAAAGACAGGCATAGGAGTTGAGCATTTACGTGAGGTAGATACACTCCTTGGAGAGAACAATCATGGGAGAAAGAAGGGCTGCTTATGCACAGTGAGACAGCTCAGGGGGCCGGAGTGCATAGAGGGATGGGCACAGGGAAGAGGTAACTACGGGGAGGAAGTGGGAGGGAGCTGTTACATTGTGGTAAATTATAGTCAATGTCATGAGACAAAGTATATGTGAACTGCTGTATGGAAAATGAATTTGCCCTGGAAGTTTTCACCCAAATCACAATAAAAAAAAAAGAATCAAATATATACACTGGTTAATAATGAAAAAATTATGGTAGCAACTTCACACAAGGATACAGTATGAAGCTTAGACTTACTTGCTCAAAAATTAATCAGAATCCATCAAAATTTTCCAAATGCTCATAATTAGCACAGGAAATACCTGGTTATATTACTTGCCATTCAATGGACACCTGCCATTTTACAGTAAGCTCCCACACTTAGTACAATACAAAAGAGACCACTCCCACCCACCTCCCAGTAGAGTCTAAAAGGCTAACAGTGCAAATGTTAGTGTCATCCAATTCTTGACTGCAATTCCAAAATAGCGTCTTATCTTAGCTAGTTCAGATATGAACAGGTTCACTTAATCCTTAGTTTATTGTCTGAGAGAAAGGAAATAAAAAAAACCGTAAGATTATTCTAGTCCAAAGTGATAGAAGAATCCACACACATGGACCCAGGATTGTAGAATTCTAGCAGGAACATTAGTCTTAACACAGGCAGGCAGGCAGATAACTTCGAGCACCCCCCAAGAGCCTTTGACTTTGGCTTCTTGGGTACTGCTTTGCACACCACATCTACATTTTTACATTATCGCTAACAGTATAAATAAACCAACGTGTATGCCAGCTGTCAGTTTCGTACCCTATGGCAGAAGCTTTTTGTTTTCAATCAGTACCAAATCTTAACTCTGACATTTGTGTTTGGATTGCTGAAACAAGATAAAGCTATCCACACTAAGAAAGGTGAAAGCTTATTCTCAATTTTTAAAAAGCTTACTCTGTTGTGAAAATGAAATGATTTCAAAATTACTGAGAAAGAGCTCTTTATAAATTATATCACTCACAAGCAAATACTGGTCTGTTGATAACTGACGAGAAACTGAATGCAGTGCTAGTTTTTAAACAGAAAAGTCATTTCCATGAGGTTTAAATAAACAAGACGACAAGAAATACAAGTGTCGCAAGCAATTTAATCAAGCTACTTACAGCGCACACATTCCCGAGTACACCCCATTGTGGTGACTCTGCTTAATTCAGAATTGTTACACATTCAGCTTAAAAGGTGTTTCTTCCCGAGAAACTGAACTTTTCTGTCAAATGCACTGGATCGAATAGGAGAATTGGGTTCATAAAATGGATTCATTGCAAACTAGGAAAGAAGAAGGTATTAGTGAGTCTGTCAAATTAAAAAGGCTGACAAATCAAAAGGAAATTATTATACAACTTAAAAGAAGTCATTTAAGACATTCAAGACAAAAATCTGAAGACCAGGTTTTCAGCTGCCACCTAAAATGTTCCTCTGTAAAAGCCTAAAGCCTCCTTAAGGGAGTTTTATTCTGGTGTTTGAGTTTTGGGGAGGACCTCTGGAACTCTTAGTACATGACAAGTGTGGCTGTGTAAGTTAAATTAACTTTCAGGAGTCACCCTAAGTGTGAAAAAGTCATTGACTGGTCTTCACTATAAATACCTGGACTAATCTCATAAGGCCCTCGGGTTACAGAAATGTCAATAAATAAAATCTGCAGTATGTGCAGAACTATGAAAAAGTTATGCCACACTGCTATTAAAATTACTCTCCCATGGTAACTTTGTTTCAAAGAGGGCTGTTAAGTGGTGATGACTGGATTCTGGCGCATAGCAATCCTATGTGACAGAGCAGAACTGACCTGTAAGGTTTCCCAGGCTGCTATCTTACAGATCTTTTCTCCTGCAGAGCTGCTTGGTAGGTCTGAACCACCAACCTTTTGGTTAGCCGCTGAGTGCTTAACTGTTGTGTCACCAGGGCTACCAAACCAAAAACAAACCCACTGCCATCTAGTCGATTCTGAATCATAGTGACCCCTACCAGGTTTCCAAGGTGGTCAATCTTTACGAAAGCAGACCGCCCATCTCCCTTCCGAGGAGCGGCTGGCAGGTTTAGAACTGCCAACCTTCTGGTTAGCAGTCAAATGCCTTAGGCACTGTGCCACCAGAGCTCCTTATAGTCTTATTTGCTACTTCTAACTAGGAATATTGATTGTTAAGTTTTATTACCGTATGCAAGAAATCCTGTCTAAATACAGAACACATTTAAATGATTAAGAACATTACTTTTGCTAGCACTGCAGTTTAATCACTGACATCCTATTGTCATTTTATTTTTTTCAATGAAATATCAAGAAATGCTGATGGCACCATTCTCCTGGAGCAACTATCTGATAACTAAGAATCTGGCAGTTTATAATCTGTATTTATTGCATTGCAAGCTACTTAGAATCTTGATGGCAAACATTTTAGATTACATTTTAAAGCCATTTTCCCTTGCCTCTCCAAGTTTCCCTAATAAAATCACGTATATGCACTAAATGGCAGAGACTGAAGCAGATTCACCTTCATAGGTTGTTTTCCTAAATACATGTCTGCCTGGTGGTGAAGACGGGACTGTGGAGGGAGTGGCTGTGGGGGAAAGCTAGTCTGGCATGAAAACTGCAGCATAACAGGGGTAACTCCAACAGGTCAGCTACCTATCCAAGTAAGAATCCCCTTCTGATCAGATTTAGACAATTTGAGAACAGACCATACCTTTATGTACAGATCATAGACATCAGTAAAGAAGTTCTTGATTCCATCTTCTTGCCGCACGTCATGAAGCATGATAAATCTCATATGTAAACCAGTTAAGGTATAATCTTTCTTAGAAATGAAAACTGAAAAGCAATCGGTTTATACTATATTCTTCAAATAATCACATGCAGGGTATTTCCTGATAGTAAAATTTTTGTGATAGATTTGAAGTTAGGTTAGTTTTATTTTAAAGAGAACATCATGGTTTTTTTCAGTTAGAAGATAAGCAACAAAATAAATTTCTCTTGATATGGTTTGGATAAACCTCAGTTTTATATATGAGGCTTGGTTTTAAAATGAATCCTTATACAAAACTTTCTTTTGTTCATGGCACTGGAAATGGCAATGTTTACATATTTACCCGACTCTCTGAAGTCCAAGGACTCAGAGCCTGGCCCCTATGGTCCATGTTCTTCTGGTTTGGTAACCCCACAGTCAGCTACACGTATTGACTTAAAAGGTAAGGATATGACCAGCAGTCACGAAGGCGGAGACAAACCACTCATTGAATTTGTCCACGGTCTTCAGGTACATGTTGTTAGACAGCCACATGTTCTCATCTACGAGGTCGAGAGCAGCGTGAGCGATGAACTGGTTCAGGTGACGGTGGTCATCCTGGAGGACAAGGGCAGCAGCAACAGATTAACCTCCCCGTGCAGCACTGAGAATGCCAGCACTGTCTCCTGCTAGATACGGTTTTCACGTGGGGAAAAACACTCCCTGCTCTTACTCCCTTTATTACTGTCATGATAAACCAAACCCAGCACCAAACCCACTGCCAGTGAGTCTATTACAACTCACAGAGACTCTCTAGGACAGAGTAGAACGGCCCCGGAGGATTTCCAAGGCTGTGGTCTCTATGGAAGCAAAGTATCTCGTTTTTCTCCCAAGGAGCAGGCTGGCAAGTTTGAACTGCCCACATTTTGGTTTGCAACTGAGCACGTTAACCACTGTGCCACCAGGCTGCTTACTGTCAGGACACCCACCACCTGTGTTTTTCCATAATACTCTATTTTTTAATTGCATGTCTAAAACTCAACAAAAAAAGAGAAATGGTCAATTAACGTGATGAACGGAATGTGTTCCAAGAAACTAAATAGAATTTTTTTTAAATGTTGCAAGACAGAAGTTACTGATTCTGTAACAGTTTCAAACACATGAAAAAAAAAATACTATGTTAAAATCAGTCAGTCTCGCTCTCAAAAAGCTCACTTCTTACTAGAGGCAAATGACATGAAGACATGTGTCGGGGAGAGGATAAAGGCCAACACTGTAGCAGGCTGGGACTGAGGAGGCGGTGACAGAGATGCAGAGAAGGGCTCTTTGCAGGTGCCATCGAGGGATGGGAGGGGGCTCTGGTGGCGTAGTGCCTAAGGCATTTGACTGCTCACCAGAAGGCTGGCGGTTCAAACCCACCAGCCACTTCTTGGAAGGAAGGTTGGGCAATCTAATTCCGTAGTGATACTGCCTCAGAAACCCAAGGAGGGGTAGCCATGAGTCAGATCCAACATGACGGCAGTGCATTTGGTTTGGTTGGAGGGATGGGAGGAAGTTCCTAGGCAGTGGCACCAGGTGAACAGTAGTCAGTGGAGATGCTGGCCTCAGAAGGGCATAGGTCTTTCAGGTGAAAGCAGCTTATATGGCAAGGTGACCTGGGAGTGTGGGAGGCCATGCCAGCCCCACCTGTGAGCAAACACCTGAGTCACCTGGCAATAGCAGGAAACAGCCCTGTCAGAGCTGGGAGTGTCCCTTTAGTGGGCTGAAATGGCTTCACTGGAGAAGGTGGGGGTGGCCCACTACAATGGGGAGAGGAGGCACCCTCACTGGATTGTACCTTCACTCCTGGGCAACACTCCCTTGCAAATACGGTTTTCAAAGGATCTCTCCTGGCTGAGGAGGCTGTTCCCAGGGCTGGGCAGGAGGGAGGCTGCTGATTGCCCCAGAGTCCCTTGAGGAAGCGAGTTAAATCCTTAAAAAACGGAAGTAGTACATGTCGGGCCCATAGCAGCCTTTTCTATTACTCTACACTGATGATCCATCTGGAGAGATTAGGAGAAAACTGTCCACTGGCTTTAAGACAGTGTGTGGTAGCAGGAGAAAGAACTAAGATCCAGCCAGGTGACAAAACATCTTTTGATGCACTGCCTCAAAAGTGGCATACTGGAGGCAACGGGAGGGCACAGACACTCTGTAAGTATCTGTTGCCACAAAGCAGCCATTGCTGCAGAGATGCCCCCAGACCAAGATGCAGTGAGGACATCATATAGCAACATCACCTGTAGAAGTGATACTTCAAACTAACATCTGGCTTATTTTTTATTTTATTTTTTTTAGGATTTGGGTGAAGATTTACAGAGTAAATTCACTTTTCCTACAGCAGTTCACATATACT